CCTGGTGTTCCTTCCCAAAGTCCAAGTGTTTGATACACTTGGGACCAAAGCTAACATCTCTTTGATATCGCTTTCTTCAATGAGACATCTGTTTGGTGGATAAAGGAGATGTAGAGAACCTAAAGAAAATCTCCAGAAAATGCCTTTGCTTGTCTTTTTGCCATTACATCTTTGGCTTGGTTTTCTTAGTTGTTTCTCTTAATTATCTTTCATTTCTCAGTTATGTGAAAATATTGCAAGGAAAATTGTTCAATAGATGAGCCAAGGATATCGATCTTTAGCTCATGAGTGTAATCTTTCACAGGGGAGATTTTTCTCAACTTCAAAAGACAGCACAGCCCTGAGCAGGCGGTGGTTGATAAGAAGCTGAGACGGCAGTCCCAGGGCTCGTACCTGCCTCGGCCACTGGCTGCTGTGTGACCCTCCATGATGGGTTTTTCCTTCCTAGGGCAAGTCTTTTAACTTTAAAATAGTGTGAAATGAACCTCCGGTGTGAGGCTAGAAAAAGCTCATTACAGTTGCTCTCTGCGTCTAGGGCTTTTTCGTCCCTGTTGAAAATGGGAAATAGCAGCCGTGGCACGGGGTGGGTTGTTGCTGCTGTGGCGTAGCTTGTTCCAGCCCTAAAAAGCCTGTGCTCAGCAGCCTGGACATGAAAAACGTGAGCTGGTCAAAAATCAGTTGTTGAGGTGACAGCTAGGAGAGCTGTAACAGCACGGCTGGGAACCAGGGTGGTAACAGCCCTTTTGTAGCCTGAACCCACCTGCGTGAGTGGTTCTCCTGCACTGGACCCAACTGACATGTCGAGGAGCCAGGATTTTTGCTGTAATACTCAGTTTCCATACCGTTCAGTGCCAGACTGTCAAGCCTGGCTGGGGTTTGGCCTCCAGGACTGCAGTAGCACAGTTTAAATACCCTTCACGCATTAACTCTTATTCCTTAATTACAAGCTGTCAGTTGTCATCAGTCCTCTGCTACTTTGTTTAGTAACAGGGAGGCTGGCCCTGATGCTCCCAAAGTGACAACCCCAAACACCAAGTTCATGGGCTAAATGGAGAGATTTTGCTGGGTCTCTTGATCTGTTCAGCTTCTGCTGACCCCACTTCAAAGAAAGGGCGCTTCCTTAAAAAGTTTGTTGTTGTTGTGAGGGAAACGGTTAAAATCAGAAGTAAATGCACCACACTGTGCCTTCAGACAGCCTGAAGCAATAGCTCAGAGGTGGACCTGACTCATCGCAGCAGGATATTGACTCTGGAGCATAATTATGATGCTTTGAGAACCTGATTTTAAAATAATTGAGGTATAAAATTATGCGCCTGGCTTTCACAATTACTACAGTTCTGTGTATAAATCGAATAACGGCCTCTACAAATGTGCCACTTGGCTATAGCAGAAATAGCAGCGAGTCTGGAAATGTCCTGCATCACCATTGTTTTCCTCTTGCTGAGAGAAGCCGGCTGCAAGCTGAGTTTTGCAAACTGCCTTGGGTTGTCACCAGTCCTGGTTGTGCGGCCGCGGGGGTTTGGCAAACCCGTAGAAAGTCCAGCTTGGTGCTCGGTGGCTGGACAGCCGAAATCAGCCTGCTGTCGAAACGCCAGGGGTTTGCTAATCCCGGCACATTGCGCATCTCCGTTCAAACACCTTTGGCTGTCTGCAGCAATGGACTGGATGCGGGTGAGTGCCAAGGGCACAACTGGTGTTTTGACTCCCGTTTTCCAAAGCTGTGTCATGGCTCCCTTGCTTCTGGAAGGGCTTTCTCTTCTCTCCGTAGCAGCCATCATGTCTGCAGTCAAACTTCTGTGTTTTGTTCGGACAACACAGTAAGCGGTCTTGGTAAGCTTTGATTCTCTATGAAGTCCCAAGGCTTTGGAAGGAGGCCGCTGTCGTCAGTGAGTTGTCTGAAAGCACGATTTTGTCACCTCTGTCCCACCTGGCATGGTGTTCCCCAAGATCTGAATCTGGTGAAAACCCTTGTTTGTCTTTCATGGTTTGCCACCTGGGCTCCACTGCTCTTAGAAGGGTTAGGGTGGGTTATTTTCAGCTCAAAGAGAACCCAAGCAGCAAACTTATCTTGATAATTTTTTTTTTTAACCAGTCTAGCTTAAAAAAAAAAAAAAGCAAACAAGTCAGGTTTGGTCTCTTTGTGCCTCCTTCAGGGTCAGGCTGCTGATTCCAGGTGCCTTTTCCTGCTGGCCCCCTCGGTTTGAGGTTGCAATTTGGTTCTTGCTATTGCCCGGTGTGTTTCCAGGGTTGTTTTCTACCCAACTTTCGGGGACTGGTTGCAGCAACTGGAATGGATAGCTGCTGGAGGAGTTTCTGGGAGCATCGCCTTTCCAATGGGCGCATCATCAGGACCTGCTGCTGCCTGGAGACCTGCAGGCTGAGCTGAAAGACTGCTTTTAAACATTGACCACGGGGAGGTAGAAACCTGAAGGGGAACTTTACAGCAAAACCTCAGCTGTGGTAACAGCCGAGCAGGAAGCTGGACCAGGAGCCACTGCTGTGGCCAGACGTGCTCCGCGTGCTGGGTGCTTCGAGGCCGCTGCTGGTGGCTGCTGCTGTGCCTGCTTGGGGCCGAAATGGTTGGGGTTTTCAGTCTGTATAAAATAAGCCCTCTTGTGTCTTGGCTGTCTGAATTATTACCTGCCTGGCATTTCATTATAAACACATTTTTTCTGTCGTGGTACTGGTTTCCTGCCATTTTATTGCTTTTAAGGTTCTATTTTTTGTTTTATTCATCTCTTCCAATCGATAGAAATATCCTGTTTTTAGCAAGCAACAAAGGCAGATGTGACTGATGTCCTTATGGTGGGAGCAGAATCTCTTTCAGAGCATTTGGGGAATGGGAGGGGGCTTTTAAATCTAATTTTCAAAGATCTCTAAAGTATAACGAACTGCTCAAGGCATGTAGCTGAGTCTCTCACTGCCATTAGCTCCAAGAGTTGGGATCCTAGCATTGTACCAATGCAGATCTGGGGCCAGTCCTTGAGATCCATCCTCTGGTGGTTACTGTTGTTCTTTGCCATGCCACTAATTAAAAATCACCTAATGAGATTATCTCCACCAGTTCTGGAGGATTAGTCTGATGGAGGAGATCCCGCACGTGCATGTGGATGCACACACTTCTGTGCATAGGCACGGCAGTGTTGGGAAGCGCAGTCTTCCCAGAATTACCCTCTATGGGGTTTGCCATGGCAAAGATTTTTTTTTTTTTTTAATTCCCCCCCCTCCACACACAGAGATTGCTCTGACAGCAATAAAATGAAACAGAGAACTGAATTTGAAAATAAATTGTTTAGATGATGCAGCACCAGATGGATAGCTATTCCAGAAGAGTCAGTCCAGGATGGATTGGTTTTACTGCCAAATCAGAAATGCGGCAATCAAACAAAAGCAAGCTAACAGCATGGTGGCGCGGGGGCTGCGTGCCTGGGTCGGGTAAACCCTTTGGCTGGGCTGTGGTGAGCAGTGCCCCTGTGTAAATTCAGCAGTGGGTCGGGTCTGATACGAGATGAAGGTGCTGCAGTGCCCTTTGAGTCCTATGCAGATTGGAAGTCAGTAGACCTGGGTTATAAATACTGGATTTTGTCTCTGCTTGCTCTGTGACCATGGGCATGTGTTTTAACCTCTCTAAACCTTGTAAAAGGTTGAAGTGCTGTGCCACACCAAGTAGCACTGAGGCCTGTTGATAGTGGTGTTGTTTCCTGGTTCTGAGACCACGGTTTAATCCACTAGATAAGTTGGTGGTTTTTATTCTGGGTGTTTTTTTCCCCAGGCGTAGGGTTTGGGGCTGTTTTTGCTCCAGCAGCTCTATCTGAAGGCTTCCAATAAGCAGGCACAGCAGAAAGGTGGATTTTGGTGATAAAGAACCAGGCAAGTGCTTTGCGTGCTGGGAGAGTGGTCATCAGATCCTGCTGAGGCTGATTTGGCCTGACAGCAGACAGCTTCACTTCTTGCGTCCTCTCTTCCTTGCCAGGCATCTTCCCCCCTTCCCCCCCTCCCCCATGATTTTGTTGCCTTTATCTGCAGCCCATAGGGAGTCTTAAGAATATTTGAAAAGTTACTGCTTTAACCCTTGATGTAGTAAACGCTGTATTTCCTGTATTCTTAAGCAATAATTTTATTAAATTGCCTCGAACCGGGGTATGATGGGATTTGTTTTTATGTTGCAGTTTGATCTTTGGCTGTATGCAGCGGGAGTGTAAAAATGAGTCTGGCATCGACATCAGTGGCAGGAGGATTTTGCCTGTAGACTACTTTTGGAGGTGAAAGAGAAGGAATCCTACCAAGACAGTAATTCAGAATAAAGCAGGGAAGAAAAGTACCTTTCTGCTGTCTTCATTGTTAGAATCCAAATGACTTTCTTCATCATGGTGTTACTGAGAGCCGAGGAAGCCTACTGATTGCCTTTTTTTGATTCTGAATGAATGTGAGAGGATAAAACCTGATACATTTGAGTGGATGCATCTCTGGTGTGTTGCTGACATTGGAGAGATACTTTATTGTCTAGCGACAGAAGGTCTGCCTATTCATTTTGGGCTTTTGTCACGTCTCCTCCATGGAGATGCTATTGCACATGAAAGCCTGATTGATACGGTGGCAAAGGTCAGGAGGGTAATAGCTTTGATGGTATCCCCTGAAGCAAATCAAAATTCTTGTAAAAGATTCTGTTGAATTTGATACCAAGGGTCTGGTAGCACTCCAGGGATTCTTCTCTCTGCTATTAAGCTTACTGATATTACAAAAAATAATGTTTGCGTGTTGGTTTTTTTTTTTTAATAGGATGTTCTCCAATAAGAATGGAAAATAACTGCTTCTCTCTTTTTTTGTCTTTCTCTCTCACTCTGTTTCAGGGATCCTCAATGCATTTGCTTGCCATTATTTAAGGAGCCTTTACTAAAAGCTTCTGGATTGTGTTTCTGAGTGGACAAAATATTTTTGTATTCAAAATGCTTATAAAGGAATAT